AGTCGCATTATTGAAGTGCAGTATAGACATGTACACACCTTAATCACACTATTACCGTCGTTTAGGACTTTTCGCCACATTTTGCGGCAGGATACACACATGGCAGTGCTCAACCGTTTGATGGCAAATAAAAGAGCTTCAACACCTCCGTCGTCTGAATGCACGTACAAATAATTAACTGCATTGAAGCTTTCATAAAATTAAAAATGCAACATCCAAAACTGTACATGGCATCATCACGAAGACGAATTATATGTTTATGCGTGAAATTCCGGAGGGGACGTCAAATGACGTCACGTGGGACGTAATGACGTGCGCCATTAATCGAACTATGTACTAGGAGAACTACAACTTCCATTGGGAAAAAAACCCCCCTCAATTTATCCAGAATCATGCAGTTCTATTTTGCACACAAACAGCTCTTAAAGAGTCCAGTTTTTATGTAGCCTGTTGGTTTTTGTTCATGGTATTCAGCTGCAACTAAATGGTTTGCAAAAAAGAGACACAGGATAAATGTTTGATATCATTATTTAATCACATTGGAATCTAAACTGGGAATCGATAAGCGGAATCGGAATTGATAAAGTTCAAACGATACCCAACCCTACTCACAGCACATATTCTGTGCAATGAAGCCCGCGGCGATTCTCTCTAGTGCACACACGTACCATGTGCGGGAAAAAACCAAGCTCAGATTTTAAAATAGAGAGTGCATTTTTAATACTCGCGTGACATGCACGTCTGCAAATGACGTCAGAAGGCTATAATTGATTATGGTTTATTACTGCATCGATGCAGAATTGTCCATGTCCGCATGCATCGATGCAACGATTAATTTCGACACCCCTAGAGTTAATATTTTCAGGTATAATTGTTCAAAGTAAGTTTACTGTGGTTCAAAGTGGTGATCTGTGGTCTCCAGGAGCAAAGGCCAAGCCTGTGGCAGGGACCCCTAAACCGGCGTCCACTCCAGTGTCTGCAGCTCAGAAGAAGCAAGACAGTAGCAGCAGTGAGGACAGCTCAAGTGAATCCGAGGACGAGGCTCCAGCTAAGGTACTTCAGCGTACAGATTATAACTCGCACGTAATCATGCTTTAGAATTCTATTGCAAATTGTAGAACCTATGATTTTTTTTGTTCAGAATAAAAAAATACATTTGTTTGCCTGCTTAGTATTCACAATTTACAGTTAGTTCCTCTTACTTGATCACAGACAGCAGTAAAAACACCAGTCCCGGTGAAGACCCCTACAGCTAAACCCGCGGCCCCTGCAGAATCCAGCAGTGAGGTGTCATCCTCAGATGAGGAAGATGCACCTCCTACTAAGAAACCCAAGATTGGTATTACTACTTTTCTTTCACATCGGTCGATCTTAAAGTTGCTTTAAGAAATGGGATTTGCTGGCATATATCAGTGTTCCCAAACAACCAGTATTACAGTGATCTTGGACTTTATACTGAAAACTATCACCATGGGTGCGTCATTACGCTTTATTTACTGGATCAAGTGATCTCAACATAATTAAACTGCTTTTTTGGGCCATGAATGAGTCCTAAGCATGCCTCATTTGAACATGTTAAGAAATCTTAAAAGTGAGAAGACAAAAGTGAGTTTCTGAAAAAGAGGAGACAAACATGAAACTGAAGAGCATCTCTATTTACAGGACAATTCAACGCCGTCCCGCCCCCTGGAACACTGACCGCTCCAGCCAAAGCCCCTGGTAAGAGTTTGAAGTGTCCTGTATGAGTTACTACAGCAATAAGCCATGAGAGGCTGTGCATTACAGTGATGTTTAGTTAAGGGGTGTTATAATGGTTGCAATAATAATCAAAGTAAACCTTTATCCATAGATTTTTACAGACCTTCAATGATGTGAAGCAGCATGGTGCATTAATATAGAATTCAATTTTACATTTTTTTTTTCAATCAGCTGTAAGTTATATTTGTAATACAATCATTTTATGAATAACTGTATTTAAGCATGGTACAAAAAGCATAATTTCAGCACAAAAAAAGTTACAAATTATGTATTATACGAAGATATAGCACTGATTAATTTGCATGTCAGGTCCGAAGATAAACTTATCCTTAAGAAAAACATAGTTAAAATTAAACTTTAAATTAGCCGAAAGTTAACATTTCAAAGTTAAGAACCCTTTACAGAGAAAACAATTTGCTCTGTTTTTTGCTACAATAATCAATCTTACAGTTACTCGTATTCATTATGCTTTTTATACAAGCATGCTAACATTAGTTTTACATATGAAATAGTTTTTTTTTTTGATCCTTCAAGCTCGGAGGACGAAGCAGCAAAGCCAGCTGTCAAAGTCACACCGGCAAAAGCTGCATCTGCTAAATCTACACCTGCAAAAGTCGCTCAAGCTAAAACCACACCTGCTAAAGTCACCCCGGCTGCAGACAAGTCTTCATCTTCGAGCTCAGAAGACTCCGACGATGAGGAGGAGGCCAAGAAACCGGCAGCTAAAGTTGTCCCTGTTAAACCTGCGCCAGCCAAGAAAACGCCAGCTAAAGTCAAGCCCGCTGCAAAAGAATCGTCATCATCTAGCTCCGAGTCGGAGGAAGACAAACCGGCCACAAAACCAACCCCAGCCAAGGCTGCTCCTGCTAAAGCTGCTCCTCCAAAGACAACCCCTGCTAAGAAAGACGATTCCTCAAGTTCAGGTCAGTTGTCGTCACATCCATAAAGATACAACGTTTGCATTTAATCATTATTTACTTGCCTTCATGTCATTTGCAGAATGTATGATTGGCATATATGGAACACAAATAGAGTAGGCTTGCCGCGATAGACGGTGCTGACGGTGATACCAGTGTTAAGCCGCAACATCGTTTACGTCACTTGCCCACCGCGGCTTTGATTTTTTATAGTAATAAAAATAATTTAGTTCAGTAAAAGAACAGACACTAATAGAGATGTTTTGAAGAATGTTCATGATGCCCTTTTTCCATACAAAGAAGTTTCTACAACTTCCAGGCCCAATTTTTCTGAAGCCCTAAGCTTTGTTTTTTGGAGCTTGGTAGCCCTAGTCATTTACATTTAGAAGAATTGAGTGAATTCAGAGTTCTTGAGAAATAGAGTAATTTGGGTAACATTTGGGTTCTGTTTATCAAGATTGTATTGGCTTATAGATCTATTTTATCTCGCACCGATTCAGACAGCTCTGAGGATGAGGCACCTGCTAAACCAGCAGCAAAGTCCAAGCCTTTGAGCACTCCTAAACCTGCAGCCAAGCCCGCTGAATCCAGCTCTGACTCTGACAGCTCTTCAGATGAAGAACCTCAAAAGAAACCTGCCAGCAGACCGGTATCCAAACCTGCTACCCCAGCAAAACCAACTCCTGCAGCCAAACCGACAGCTAAACCAGCGGCAAGCAGCTCAGACTCGGACAGCTCTTCAGATGATGAGGAACCGCAAAAGAAAGCCACCGCCACACCAGTATCCAAACCTGCGGCTACCTCAGCCAAATCTACCTCGGCAGCTAAACCTTCCGCTAAAGCGGCTGAAAGCAGCTCCGACTCGGACAGCTCATCAGATGAGGAGCCGCAAAAGAAAACCACCGCCACACCGGTATCCAAACATGGCACCCCAGCTAAACCTGCAGTTGCTGCTAAACCAGCCGATAGCAGTTCTGACTCTGAAACCGACAGCTCTGACTCCGAAGACGAGACTCCAGCTGCAAAGAAAGCTAAACCAGCAGCGGCTGCTACTACTAAGAGCCCTGCCCCTGCCTCCAAACCACCTGCTCCAGCAGCTGAGTCCAGCAGCAGTGATTCGGACAGCTCCAGTGAAGACGAGAAGAAGGTGAAGACTGTGACGCCCAAAGCAGCAGCAGCTAAGCCGGCCGTGACTCCAGTTAGTGCGAAGAAAGCCGAGAGCAGTAGCTCTGAATCTGACAGCTCAGACTCTGAGACAGAGGCTAAGAAGACTCCCGCCAAGCCTGCAGTCACCAACGGAAAGGCTGCTACAAAAAAAACACCCACCTCTGCAGCAAAGACGCCGGCTAAAAAGACAGCAGAGTCTTCATCCTCGAGTGACAGCGGTTCTGATGAAGAAGAGTCGCCTAAAACACCAGCTGCGAAAACGCCACCTGCTACAAAAGCACAGGCTGCTAAGGCCAAAGCAGAGAGCAGCTCGTCTGAGGACTCTTCATCGGAGGAAGAGGAAACGACAGCCAAGACTCCTGTCACAACAAACGGTATTTGCAGGACTCTATATATCTGATAGCAAGGTATTTTGTGTTACTGGTTACCAAGCCCGTTTTTATTACTTTGAATGTGTTACGTAAACGCTTAAAATCAAACCTGTCAAATTTCGCCTGTGATACTCCAAGAAACGGTAATGCACCACTCAGCACTTTATGCTTGATAAAGGGCAGCGCAATCTTGAGACTTAAGTTTAACTTGTCATGTTATTGTAAAAAAACATGACTTCTATGTGTGAGACGAAAGCACCACTCAGCACATTTAAAGGGGCTGTTCACACAGAACGCAAGACAAAGGTCAGTGCAATGGAAAAATCACAAAGTCTCAGTATTTTTTTTTACGATGTTTAACTTGACAAATGTACATTTAGTGCATGTTTACATAGAAAAACAACTGAGAAGCACCACAGTTGGTTTATTGCCATGTTTTGAATGAACGACGCAGCAGGAAGTTGCATCTCACGTAACACAAGTTGCATAACTTGCAAGTACAGGACTGCACATCACGTGCAAATATTATGGTCCGTTTTATCAATACTACTTTGGTATTGAGTTATTTGCACTCCAGGTTCTTATGGTTTTGTCTACTGTCTTGGATAAAAATTGGTAGCACACCTGTGATGACTTGAATTGCTGTCTATGTAGGACGCTCAGTTTGGAATGGAGCCATAAAAGCCACCCATCCAAACAAATGTCATATTGCTTGTGGCAGGTCAAGTCAACACACTCAGATTAGCTTGGAAGAGAAGGCATTTGTTCCATCTGATGCCTCCACATCAGTGTTAAACTGTTGATATTTATCATCTTCTAAAGCATTTAGCCTTCAGCACCATTGTAAACCACTCCCATTTGGTTTTTCGCTTCTCTCCTCTGATCGCAGGCACAAAGAGGAAAAAAAAGGGCAAAGAGGAAGAAACGACAACACCCAAGAATACAAAAATCACCACATCCACACCTCAGACTTTTCCCAGAACCAAACAGAAGGTAAAGGGCTGTGATTGTGAGCATGCTTGTGTTGATGTTGACTCTTGTACAGTGCATATTCAAACACACCCAGGGGTCAAATTGGGAATCTGGAGGTGGGCGATTCTAGTTCCAGGCAAGACCTGCCCTGGAAATAACACTGAAGTCGATATGTTAGTATTTGTTGATCCAGTGAATCTTGCTATTGATACAAGCAGCACTGGTGCTTTACATCCTTTAAGCGTTAAAGGGATAGTTCACCCAAAATGAAAATGATTGTTTACTCACCATGTTGTTCCAACCCCAAGATATTAGTTTATTTTTCTAAACACAAATTACAATATTTTTTATGAAATCGGAGTGTTTGCTGTGTCCCTCCATTGAAAGTCTCTGCAAAAACTGACGCCTCAAAAGTAACAGACAGAAAATAGCTTCTTGTAAATTGGTTTTTGATGTAAAAATGTTGATCGCATTATAAGTGGACCACAGAGAACAGTACAACATAAAAATCAGAGGCAGTTCATCGCCCCTATAAAACTCGTACTTAAAAAAAAAAAAATTATATTTTAAACAAGTTTATAGCTTTTAGAAGAGGCAAGAGTTCCTCATTCCACTCACCTTACCAGAGTAAGAAGCTCCACTCCACTCACAGTTTGCTTATGCACTTGTGCTTAAAGGTATGTTCTGTTTTTTTCTCTGTTGTGTGACTTGTAAAGGAAAGCAATGCTCCTTTCCGTAGAGTAAGAGACGAGGAAATTGAGATGGACCCCCGCCTGGCAGACAATTCATTCGACGCAAAGGTAAGATGATAAAAGTGAATGCCTACTAGGTCAACGTTTACTGTAAGGAGAGCCTTTGTGCACGTATAGTGCTTTAATTCGTTCGACTCTTGTTACTTACTACTAGATGGGAGCCAACGGTGACTGGGGCCAGAAGGCCAACAGCGTGCTTAAATTTACTAAGGGCAAATCTTTCCGGCATGAGAAGACCAAGAAGAAGCGCGGCAGTTATAGAGGCGGCGCAATCTCCACCTCAGTGAACTCCATTAAGTTTGACAGTGACTGAGATCAATCTCAAATTAAGAACCTCTGAACTCTCCATGTCTGTCTGTCCCATTTGTCGCTACATCAGCTCTAGCAAGCACTGTTTTGACCCGTCTAGCCTCTGTTCCTGCGCATGTTCCTGACATGGGCCGGCATTGACTGAAGAAAGCACAAATCGAGGTGTTGAGGCTGTCTTTTTTTTTTTTGTTTGTTTTTACTCAATCTTTCAAGCAGTTAGACACTGTGACCACATGGTGGCGCCAATTCATTGTGTTTAGGCCTTTTGATTAGCTTATATGTAAAATATGGTTTTGGCTTCACTGTAAAATGTTTCTTAAAGTTGGCATGACAAATTATGGGCGTCTGTTCTAACAGGTAATTGTTAATATACTAGAAATGATAGTGATTTTCTTTTTTATTATTATTATTATACGTCAAAGAAATGTCATTGTAATGGTTGCGTTAACATTTTATGAGCCTATCCATGCATCTTGAGCCTGGTGGTTTGTCTGATTTGAAGAAGCGGTGTAGTTAATGACTCCGCCCACTTCTGTTTGACAGACACTGGAAGACCACCCTTAAAATAACACCTGAATCATCCTCATTCGGTTTTAGTTTTAATCTTTTATGGCTTCATATGTTACGCAGGATTTTGTAATTTGGTGTCCTTTATGATCAGTCTTGTAACTGTAATTAAAACTTGGACTGAAACTCAACTGTTTGTTTGTTTTTGACCAAACAAGTTTAATCCATATTTATGAAATCTTAGGTTAAATCTTAGGTTTACTCACTGAACTGTTATTTCAGGTGAAGCCTGTTTTGAGCATTTACAATTGAGCATTCAAAAGATTGTCAAAGGTAGGATGCGGTAAAAGGGATGAGGTCCGTGTCTATACTGATAATTCAAAATGTACAAGGCTCCTTTGACTATACAACAAGATTATGCATGTTAAGTTAATACATTAGGGTGTCATGAAAAACTTTGATGTTAATTTCTACTGTTAGCTGTTTTAATTTCATGTATGAATTAATGAAGTTGTAAGTTTATACAATTTGAACATGCATAACTTTTTTTTTTTTTTTATATATAAAATTGTGAATTTGTTAACAATTCGGTTAACACATAAGGTATAAAATATCAATGAACAAATCTTTTTAATGTTAATTTCTCCTATTTGTTTTTTATTTCATGTATGAATTTAAGTGTGAGTGATGTGACATGTGGCCAAGTATGGTGACCCATACTCGGAATTAGTGCTCTGCATTTATCCCATCCAAAGTGCACACACAGCAGTGAACACACACCCGGAGCAGTGGGCAGCCATTTATGCTGCGGCGCCCGGGGGTTCGGTGCCTTGCTCAAGGGCACCTCACCGTATTTATGCTGCGGCGTCCGGGGAGAAGTTGGGGGTTCGGTGCCTTGGTCAAGGGCACCGCAGTTGTGGTATTGAAGGTGGAAGAGAGCGCTATACATTCACTCCCCCCACCTACAATCCCTGCCGGCACGAGACTCGAACCCGCAACCTTTGGGTTATGAGTCCGACTCTCTAACCATTAGTCCACAACTTCCCCACTACTTTACGGACATTTTTATACACAATATTATTGATTGTTTGTGATACCCAAATGCATTAATGAATTGAACCTTATTGTGAAGTGTTGCTTTTCATGCTGTTAGAGTATAGTATTCTCTCCAGACAAACAAAAAGGTAATGGGACAAATAATTCATGAAAAGTACCCAGAAGCCTGCTTAGATCTGCCGCTGATTGCATAAACTGTATGGAATGGTTTCACCAGTTCTCTAATTTCTCGCCCTCCAAGTTTTGACTACTTTACGGACATTTTTATACACTCAATATTATTGATTGTTTGTGATACCCAAATGCATTAATGAATTGAACCTTATTGTGAAGTGTTGCTTTTCATGCTGTTAGAGTATAGTATTCTCTCCAGACAAACAAAAAGGTAATGGGACAAATAATTCATGAAAAGTACCCAGAAGCCTGCTTAGATCTGCCGCTGATTGCATAAACTGTATGGAATGGTTTCACCAGTTCTCTAATTTCTCGCCCTCCAAGTTTTGATTGCATGTAGTGTTTTCTGCTTTGTCAGTTACATAAAAACTTGGTACAGTCTAATTTGAATCCTAAACATCAGACTAGTTCTTATGACAACATAGTGGCTGTGTTTATGGCTCACTTGTGTTACTGGCTCCAAGTGAGAAGCAAAAACTTGAAGTTTTAAAGGTAAAGTTTTGCTGACCTTTTTTTTTTTTTTTTTGAAAAGGAAGTTCACAATCAAACCCCAGATTCCTCCAGCCAGCTCTGCAGTGAGTTTAATAAGTGCATTGTTTATCAGAAATAAATGTTTCATGCGATGATGAAAGAGGCTCATGGGTATGTCCTTACATTAGCACAGATGAAGGGCTGTTAAGTTATTCAGCAGGGAGCAAATGCTAATTCACCTCAGATAAATGTAATGCTGCCCTGGGGTGGATGTCTAAAACGCTGCTCATACTGCAGCAAAGTGAAATTCAGTGTTTATTTGAATTATGTATCTTATTCATTAATAAAAATATGCAGCTCTTTATCATTTCATGGTCTGAATAACATGGTAAAGATATATATATATATATATATATATATATACACTACTGTGCAAAAGTCTTAGGCCATTACTGTTTTCGCCCAAAATGGTTTTAATCCAGTTATTTCTATTGTACATAAATCATAAATTCTGACTGGATGAGCCGCATGTAAATTAGTTGTAAAATGCTGATAAACATGTTAGTGTTCATTTTTCACATGACATAAGCAGCCTGTGGCTAATGAAGAATACTTAATGTATTAATTGACTACATGATTGTCTTGAATAAATCAAAGTGTTTAGTGAACATTGTGTTTTTGGACACGTTTCTGTGTTCAAGTATGACATTCAAGTATGAGCATTTGTACAGTATGTAAGAAACCTTCACCTTTTTGTGACCGTTGGAGGGATTTAAGCCTTAATCAAATAATCAAACCCCCTCATATCATTAAATAACACGTAAATACACAGACTGTAAAATGTTTTAATATTATAATTCCTTCAGAAAAGCCATTCAACAACGCGATTTTCAAAATATTAATGCAGCTTACAACTAAATGAAAATTGCTTCTTGTCGCTGGATGCTAATAAATCAGTTCTGAAGTGGAGACTTGAGACGCACTTGACAACAGGAGTGAAAAATAAGGAGCTTTTTGCTGAAGAAGTGATGGTGAGTGTTTTAAAATCAAAGCTGAATATCATATGAATTATCTGAGTAAGTCCTAACATTCATTTCAGACCAATGGCACTTGATGATGACCTCTCTCGTGTTTTCACACGCTTCAGTCACATTCTAGTGTATGTAGAATTGTGCATTCAACTCCAAAACTGGCCGACTGCAAGAAATAAATACAAGATAGTGAGCTCTGTTTGGATGTTGAGTAGAGTTGCAAACTCCTTCCAAAGGAGTTCATCCCTTAATGATTAATTATACTCCATATGGAGCGTAACATTAATGGACGGGCGGCCGTCTCAGCCGTTACTGCTGTTTTGGCATGGCAAAGTCCCAGGCAGTGTCCTGGGCACACTTCCACATGGCACGCACCAGCCGGGTGAAACCCATATCCTTGGGCTTCTCCAGCCCACGCATCAGCCGCTGTTTCATGATGGAGATAAACTCCTTATTACTCAGCTCCCCATTTCCTAAAAAGAAGAGCAAATTAAATAGAGTACGTGTGAGAGAGAAATATGATGGGTAATTATCACCGTCAGTGCCGCCCAACTCCATACGCTTATCAACCCTCAGCAGAATTTAAAGTACTGATGCAGCAGGTCTGGTGCTGTGCTCATGTAGTTGTACTCATTAAAATGCACACACAAAAAAAAAACATTTACAACATTTGTTGCATAAATAGCACCATGCAAAAAAAACTAAACAAAAAAAAAACCGGAACTGGATTGTAAATATTTCATGTTAAAAGATGCTTAATTATAATTCAGATAAATAAATAAATAAAATTATTAATTAATTAATAAAACTTGCCTATATTCATGACTAAACTAATAACTGTGAGTGGACCACTATTATTATCAACAAAAACAAAGACTAAAAAAACTACTGAAATAAATATTAAATTAGAGTTAGCAAAAACTAAAATTGCAAATGTGCACAAAAATATGAATGAAAACTCAAAAAATATGATACAGTACAAATCATTTACAACATTTGTCGCATAAATAGCACCATGCACAAGAAAGAAAGAAAGAAAGAAAGAAAAAGAACCAGAACCAGACTGAAAATATTTCATGTTTAAAGATACTTAAATATAATTCAAATAAATAAATAAAATAATTAATTAATTAATAAAACTTGCCTATATTCATGACTAAACAAATCAATGTGAGTGGAGTGGACCACTATTATTATTATTATCAACAAAAACAAAGATTAAAAAAACTACTGAAATAAAAATAAAATTTGAGTTAGCAAAAACTAAAATTGCAAATGTTCACAAAAATATGAATGAAAACTCAAATAATTATGATACAGTACAAATCATTTACAACATTTGTCGCATAAATAGCACCATGCACGAAAAGAGAGGAAAAAAAAAAAGAGAGAAATAAAACAGAACCGGACTGAAAACATGTAATGTTTAAAGATGCTTTAATTAATTAATTAAATGAATAAAACTTGCCTATATTCATGACTAAACAAATAACTGAAAATGTGGACCACTATTATTATCATTAATACCACTATTATTATCATGACAATTCAAAATGAAAAATTTTATTTTTATTTAAGTTTTCATATTCTGAATGTGTCAAGACTGACTTTAGACTATCTGTATATTCAGTATAACAAAACGAAACAAAACCAAACACAACAAAACTGAACAAAAACAACACAGAATCAACAACATAAAACAAAACCAGGGGCCTGTTTCATAAAACAAGTTTACCAAATAAGCCAGGTGTATTTCAGTTAGCCTGACTTATTGTCAGTTGATTTGGTTCAAAATAAGTCAGACTAACTTAAATAAACCTGGCTTATTTGGTAAACTTGTTTTATGTAACAAGCCCCAGAACACAAAACAAAACCAAACACAACAAAATTGAACAAAAACAACACAGAATCAAACAAAACAACATAAAACAAAACCAGAACACACACACACACACACAAAAACCCCATCCAATTACAGAAGAAGCAGCTGTTTGATTACAATTTCAATATCAAAACAAATGAACTAAAGTCGTGAAACGTTCAAAACCTTAAAAAACTACTATCAAAAAAAAGTCTTAGGTGGCACAATCATAAAAAAGTTCTCACTGTGTGTCCTCGATATTTAGTGATATGATGACTGATAATAATCTGATCTGATGTTATACTTGAAACATTAAAGTCTAAAATCTGCTATATTGGTACTAGCACTTAACAGTCCATCAGTGTATCAACCAGTGTCATCAGTTTCAAAAAATGATACTTCTGCTTTCCAGATTGAAACAGGGACCTGATAAACACACGGACTCACCGTCGCAGTCGAAGAGTGCAAACACCACGTCACACACGTGGTCAGACAGCTCTACCTTGGCCACGGTTCGGGCCACCTGCTTCATGGTGGCTGTGGAGAGAGTAGACTGATGAATGAAGAGTGCTGATCAATACTGGACATTCATTCCCATCTCACAGATAGGACAAGAAAACCGAAGAGGAGGGAGAACCGACTGCAAGCTAAAGATGATGTCTAGTAGGTGCTGGTGTGTCCTCCGTAAACTACTCTGGTCATGTGACAATTTGCACTATCCATGTAACATTGTCCTTGAGAAGGAAAAAAAAATTACAAATTCCATACAAAACGTCTTCAGGTTGCAGATCACACTGGCCAATGCTCACATTCCATTCAAAACACTTCATACGAATAATGTCATTGTTATTGATAAATATTTAAAAAAAAAATTACAATTAATTAAATATGCTAAATGCAGTTAATTTTTTCTACACGGTTCATTTTTTAAAAATCGTGTTATTACATTATAACTCAACCATACTTCCTTTCTTCCAAACTCCACCCTCCATGTCAGTGAATTTGCAAAATGATTGACAGACAGGGTTTCTTATACAAGCCTGGGTTGCTCCTCTGACCCTTTTTTCTCTCCCCGTTGACAGAGTGATAGCTCATGACACCTATTTCAGTGATATCCGTCAGGAAGTGGGACATTTTAGCTCTATTCCAAAACCTGAGCTGCCTCCATAAGCAGCATTTTAAGGTATCATAGACAAGCCCAAGACAGTCCAAAACATTGCCCATTTAATTATTCTCCCTAGAATACCTTGCTTTAGCAATAATTCTAAGGCAGCATTATATGTATCATTCGCCAAAAAGACAATCGCAAAATGCCCAATTTTTTTTTTATGCAAAAAGGATAAATTATAAATATACAGTTATTTAAAATAATTAAATCCAGTGTTGTTGTTATTAACTAAAAACTAACTTAAAAAATGAAAATTTAGAAAGTAACTGAAAATAAGTACTAAAAATGACTAAAACTGAAATAAAAATAAAGCTAAAAAGAAATATATTTAAAGACAATATAAAAATGACAAAAGCACAAAATTACTGTACTAAAATGAAAATAAAACAAAAAATGATAAAAATAGGAGCTAATTCAAAATATTAATACAGAGGTGGCCAAAATGATTAGAACACTAGTATTTTCAGCAGCTAAAAAATGGTTTTAAGTCGGTTATTTCTATCTTTTGCTGTAGTGGGTCAGTAGGAAATATCAGTTTAGATTTCCAAACATTCATTTTGCCATTAATTGTAATAATCCAGTGAGATTTTTGTCTAACAGCAGCCAGTGCTCCAAACAGAGATCTGATCATCATCCAGTCTGTCTGGAATGACATGAAGAAACAGAACAAACTGAGACAGACTCAATCCAGAAGAACTGTGCTAACGTCTCCAAGATGCTTCAAGATGCTAGGTGTAGAAACAAAACTACGTGTTATCTTCTAAACAAAATAATCTTGTACAATACCTTCAATGACAACCTCAAGACAACCTATTATTATGAACAATTCTGTTTATAACTATGAATATATGTTGTTCTGCACGTCTCTTATAGCGAAAGAGTGAGAAAAGTGCCTGTTGGGAACATAAGAGAAGGTCATTAGTAGTGGTCACAGGAAACCAGACAAGCCAAAAAGCATCCATCACAGTCAGTCTGACAGCAGCCGGCCTTCCAGACACAGCCTTGAGATCAGAATACAGACGAGAAAGAGAGCGATTCCGAAGATGACAAGCTGATAAAAAGCCTCTTTTGTCTTCATGAGGATCAGTGATTCCCAGTTTCTGGGTGTTATGGGCTAGACGGACAGAGAAATGAAAGAGAGACACAGAGTTATCATCCTACGCCGAGAGGAATCAATTGTGAGATAAGATCTGTGTGGAAGTGTGCGGATGTTCGGAAGGCCAGTACTGGATGTTTATTTTACCTCAGATCACCAACCGTCACTAACAACTAATGATTTCTGACTGCTTTTGGAAGCGTGTCCGCATCTTTACACTCTATTGATAACTTGAGCCATTTGTGCAGCTTTTGGAACGATAATCTGGGTAAAAAAAGAAACCCAAGACTCATTCTGAAGCAGGTACCTAAACCATATCTAGAGACCAGAATATATTACAGAGACTTGGGGTTGGATTTTTTATTTTCATTTATTTGTTTTTCTTCAACCAGCTGACAATAGATCGCAACAGTCAGGTCCTGGAGGTAAAAACTCTATTCATTTTCTCCATAGGGAAACTGATTTTCAACAATAGCTATGTTTCCATCCAAAGATGCGAATTTAACTTATGCGCAAAACTAAAACATTTGCGAATAAAAGCACCGTTTCTATCCAACGAGTCAAAGAGAACAAAATCGCCACTTCCTGATAAACTGAAAAGTCACATGACTTTTTTCAATGCGCATGGTGGAATTTATTTGGTAAATGTGTTTCCATCGTAGTTTATGCACATTTTTTTTTTATCGGATAAAAAGTAAAGATGGACCGATACCACTTTTTCCAGTACTCGCCCGATACAGATACTTTTATTTTTGGTACTTGCCGATACCGAGTACCGATATGCATATTTGCATTGTTTAAATATTAGGTACAGAAACCAAAAGGGTATGTATAATGTTAGTTGGTTAACTTCAT